TATGTATATATATGCATCGCATAACTCAAAAGCAATTTGCCGTAGAGCATTAAAATTTTGCACATGGGGCTGCTATAATATCCATTTCTGAAACTTCTCTTTTTTATTGCAGTGAACATCTACATATATATCAACCCCATTACCTAGGCCTTTATTTTCGCAGTCGTTGGTCGTAGTCATATCTTCCCATTACAGAAGTGTTTTAACCGACGAAAAATGTCTTGGCTATGTCAAATTATGAAAAAAAAAATATATATATTTTTTTAAATAAAAAATTCGACAAATAACGAAATTTAACTTTTTATTCGGTCTCCCGGTTCCTATACTTATACTTGGGAAAGTTTTGTACTCTTTATGAAAAAATAAATTAGACGTTCGATTCCCGTACGACAAAAACTGACCGGGATATTCGATTCAAAATTTGCAATTTTTGATGTCATTTTCAACTTGCCTTGAGGGATTGGGTAATTAAGTTAAAATTATTGGAGGAAAAAACTTTAGATGAAATGCAGCAAAAAGTGTGTATAATTGAATAGGCGATACAAGGAAGTCATGTCCATATCAGATTTTTAACTATTAATCCTAATCTTGTTCCTAATATCCTAATCCTAATCTAAAACTCATTGTTAAAATGTTGGCTCCTGGAAACCTCGATTTGGGGGGTTAGTACTGTAAATTTATCAGGAGGGCCAAGAACTGTTTTTGCATAGGGGTATAGTTACGCCAGATTGGGATAGCTACAATTTTGTAACTAATTTACATGAAAAATAAATTATCTAGATGTGCGACTTTTATGAAATTTAATTGGCAGAATAAAGAAATTTCGTAAGGATAATAGAAGTATTTGTCTAGTCTGGTAATAAAAAAAGAAAAATTATTTGATTAATACTAAGTTTTGTGTGTAAGGCTATGGAATTCTACAATACTAGTACCTTAACCTTTTCGGGCCCAGCGGGGAAGGTATACATGTTTCAACCATCGTTTCTCTTCTTTCAGTAGTATATTGTTTTTCTTATTTCAATGGTTTCTCTTATTTGGTGGTGGTGGTCAGTGGTCCAATAAAAATAAGCCCCGTTTCACGTTGTTGTTTTATACAAATAGTGTTTGAAAAACAGTTTTCATATACTTGACCAACTTCGTATCGGTCATTGTATGACATAATCATACATTACCGCTGCTATATGTACGTAATTTTAGAATTAATGCATTTTAGAAGAAAGTGAAAACTATTTTTGCTGTTTTTAAAGGTAAATATCTTCCATTCATATTCTTCTTGCAAAATAAATTAAAATAAATAATAAGTTGTAAGATTCCTACTTTCAAGTTTCAGCTAAACCTGAGGAATCTTAAGAACTAGTAAGTGAATAATCGCTTTAGTTCAGTAAACAAAGAACAGATACTCAAGAAGGGTTATTTGCAGAATTTGAATTGCAAAATTGTTTGTTTAAGTAATATGGCCGGCACGTTTAGCATGTTTAGCTGATATTTTTGGAGAGTTAAATGAATTAAATTTAGGATTATATGGGGAAAGTTAATTTGTTCACCATTAGAGATAAAACAAATGCAATGATAAAATAAACTCGAGCTAACAATCAACGAATTGTGTAATAATATTCTAAGCTTTCTACAACTTTCGGAAAGTTTTTCTAACCAAAAATAATTTGAAAATAAAAAATTAGCATCTGACATTAAAAAATCATTGTTTTTCATTGATAAATAATTTCAACATGTATTTTCCAGAGGATTATGAAAAAGAAAGTTGGGTTAGAAACCCACTTTGTCCAAAAGTACCTGAAATTTTACCTCCTATGAAAAAGAAAAATTGACAGAAATTCCCTGTGATCGAACTCTAACGGAAGATTTTTGAAAATAGCACATTTGTTAACCCTTGGATGAACAGCAAAAATAGAATTCAAAGGCATTTCAAATACAACAATTCAATTTTGATTGCCTTTTTGAACAACCTATTTGTGTAAGAAGATTTCTCCATGTTTATTTGAAAATACAAAATAAATTTCCTAAATTTGGTTAAAAAGTAGGCGAAATAAGGCAGCAAAGAAATGCTCTCCTTAAACAGGCCCACAATTTTTTAGAATTAAGTGTATAACTTAAATTTTGATAATTAGAATGATCACCAATTTTTTATCTAATATTTTTTCAAGTGTGCATATTTAATACAAACAGCCAATAGGTTATGCAAATGGCAATATATATATTTAACATTTCTTTTGAGAAAATGAAACATAATCATTGTAAAATGTAGTGGTGGTACTAAAGTTTTTCAATTTTTGTTTAGATGGTATGTGTTAGTCAAAGGTTGAGAACCACTGCCCTATTTGATGCCATTTTTGACCAAAGATCATCAGATAAAGGACTGTATGTTGGCCACAATATACCAGCTGGCCCATTTCAATCTGAGAAAAAGCATTTGATGGGTTGCAGTTTCGTTTTCAGCAGATTAATAGTCATGCTCATGTACTGCATTGATACAGGAAGCAATAGTTTCTGTAAACATGGTAAGCACTGCCAAGGTGGTAGTTTTATGCCTTGAAAAATATTTTGGTAGTATTAATTTAAAGAATTTTTTCTGTAGTTAAAAGCAAATCTAAAATACATTGCTGACAAAAGAATATTAAATTAATATAATTCACATTTATCCAAAAACTATAGATAATATTTAAATAAAAATAACAATTATTTAGATAATTATCCTGCTATGCTACTCCCCTTTCAGCAAAAATATTACATTAAAGAAAAATACTGTATGTAGTGTGGAACATATTAAATTCTTTTTCATTTGAATTTAGTTTTGTTACATTACGTTGTAACTTAGAAAAGGAAAATAAGTTTATATTAATAAACAAAAATGAAAAAATAAAAAGTTCATACACAAGCAATTAAATTATACACAAAAAATTATTGCTTACATTAATCTCTAATTTAAACTGTAAAGTGTAATAGTTTTTCCAGACCTAGAATGTGTTAAGTCATGAGTCTGAATGATTCACTGTACAGAAGGATGTTCAGAAGTCTTTTAGATTCATATCATGAAGTTGGTAATATAGTCCATGCCAGTGGCATTGTTTCACCTGAAGATAATATATTGTGCCATATAAAAAGGTCTCCGTGGTTTTTTAGTTCGTTTTTTAACACAAATTTTCTTTATCGAAAATCAATTTTAATCACGTACATATTGACCATTTTAATCACGTACATCTATGACCTTTTGCCATTTTTCAGATAGCTTCATAGTTCCATCGGTGTAGAACTTGTGTGGTTTATTCTCCAAAAATTGGCCAAGTGATTTTCAGCGGCACATTGGTCGGCCAATTTTTTACCTAATTTTCTGTTGGCCACTTCTGGTCACTCTTTCTGGATTGTTTAGTTCAAATGGTTGAGTTGTGCGCAGTACAGGGCCAAACTGATGGTCTTGCCAGGTTACAGCATCTCATAATGGATAACTCCCTTTCAATCTAAAAAAATTCAATATAACCTTGTTTGACGATAATCAAGGCTTTGAAGTCATCTGTGGAGGGTCAATAGCCTTTGCCCATGATAACTTGCATTTGATATTATTGTAGTTCACTCATTTTTCATCACCTGTAATGATTCACTTCAAAAATGGTTCGATTTCATTGCATTTCAGCAGCATTTCACTGATGGAATTCAGCCCAATCAAATTTCTTTGTGTTAATTCATGCAGCATCCAAGCATCGAGCTTTCTTTTTTGTAGCCTGCTCTTTTCAAATGATTCCAAACTGTCATGTGCTTGATCTTTAGTGCCTCTGCTATTTCCTGACAGCTTGCATGCTGGTCTTGCTCCATCAGTTGCAAAATTTCATCGACTTTTTCAGTGACAGGCCGACCAGAGAGAGGTGCATCTTTGACATCAAAATTTATGGAACAGAATAGAGCAAAACACTCCTGGGTCCTTTGTTCACTCACAGCATTCTTACCGTATACTTCACAAATTTTCCGGTATGTTTTTGCAGCGTTTTTACCTTTTTTATAGTAAAAAAGCATCACATAGCATATTTCTACAAGTATTTCACTCATTTTCAAATCAATATAACATTTTACACGAGCAACAAATCAGAAAACTATCTTCACAAGCGATGGAAGCTTAATGCCACCTTTTAAGCACATGTTCATTTGAAACAATCGGGCAAATGTTGCCGGATATATAGGCATCAGCACCATCTAGTGGCAAAAAAACCATGGAAACTTTTTTTATGACCCAATATAAGCAGTTTTCTGTCTATCAATTACTGTATTAATATTTCTCCTTGATTAATATTCATGCTTTTCTCTTTTAAGTGTGCATGATTTTAAATCCTTATGAACAAAAGTGTTTCTTTTTGTACTTGATTGGTATTAAAATCTCCATTTACTTTTGAAAATTACTTAAAAGTATAGTGTTCTAATTTGGTCTTGAACTCAACAAAACATTTTCCAGGCAGCTTGAGAGATTTACCTTCTACCACTTGTGCAATAGTACAGTTAGCTCCATCATATAAGGCAACACCTAGCTCTAATACTACAATGCTGATTTTTTTAAATTCATTTAACAGTGTTTCATAATAATTAAAACTTATGTTTTCACAGCACTTTCAGGATTTTAAGCAACTGCTCAGTTTTCCCATTTAACTGAAGGTAATGTAACATTGTACTCTGAAGTTTAATGCCCCATATGATATTAAGACTTCTTTTGAAGATTTGACGTTAAAATTGTGCTCCTCTATCTGTATTTATACATTACAGAACACTAAATAGAAACCCAGTTTTCTAAGAAGCTTCTGTCACTGTTTCAGTAGAGATGTTCGATAAAGAGACAATGCCCATCGAACATGTAAATTAAATTTCCCAGTTAGGTTTATTGCATTTTTAGGGCTAATGCTGATCAGTTTATAAAACTAACAAGCAATTTTTTGCAATGTTAACAAAAAAATACGAAAAAATGAATATGTCAAGAAATATAATAATTATTAAAACAGTACCAATTTTCATATGCAAAAGTATTTATTTACAATATTTATAAATATTTAACAGTTTTTACAACCATAAAAAAAAACTTTGGGCTTTTAAGTACTAAATGGATCTACCATCAGTGGCAATTCCTGAAAGAAAGAAAAAGTTGTCATAGATCCAGAATTTTTATATGAAAGAATGTAAAAGAATTACAGTAACTTTTCCTAAAACTTTCCTGTTACTAGCATATAAAAGGATACAAAAATTAATTCGTGAAATTTTATGTAATTAAAATACGTATGCTATAATTCAGAACTGCAATTTCTGCAAGACAAAACAGCATTAAGATAAAATTTCCAGAGGTAAGTTCACTCAGAAGAATCAGATCTCTGATAATTAAAAATGCTTGTTTAGATGTCCAGTCATATTTACAAATACAAAAAAACTTTTAATGCTTAACATATTCACTGCCATCTGTAAGAATACTAATAGTTGACAAATTGAGTTTACTTGCCAGCTATGAGATAACTCACTATTGATCGGCTTACCTAAATCGCGAGTATGAGTATTGATACTTGATGCAAAGAAAGGCTTGGCATACTGAAATGGATCCTTATTTCTCAAAATGTATTGTTATTGTGTATTCACTTGGGGAAATGTTATAAGCAGACTGATTGAATTCTTATTCAATGACTTTTACAAGACTAATGGAAAACAATGCATCCTATGTTAAGAGCTTTGCATGAATATGCAGAAAGGGTGAATGTTGTTTACCTGAGTTATCTCATAGTTGCCACAGGGTGCAAAAATATTATTTCTTGTGCCAACTGTAAGTATACTCGTGTGAATTTAGTTTGTACTAAAAATAATGTGTTATATTTATATTTAAATGATAAAACAACAGAAAATAATTTTAAAGCATAAAAATGCAGATAGGATCTTGGTGTGCATAACGGATGCACTTATCAGCTTCGACAGAAAACATGTTAAAGAACCGTAAAGTTTTTCTTTAAATCGCACATGTCTAATTCATCATATGACTGAAAAATAAAAGAATAATAGCATGAAATGCTTGAAATTGCATCATTAATGTGAATATTTATTTTAATTAACTGTTTCTTTTTAAACTGCCAAAAGCAGCAAAAGCAATTAATAACCTATGTTATGAAAAATAACAACATTTGAAATAAAACTGAAATTACAGTAATCTCAAATAAATGACAACAGGAATTTCTAGACGTCTGACTGGATAAAGTCATGTATGTAAACAGTACAAAAGATGCAACCATGACTAACATCAGAACGTAAAAATTTCAAGATTTCAAAAATACTAACTTGCATTTCATATTTGCTATATCCTTCTCAACTGACAACATACTTAGCTAACAACTTGCAAATGGAGTACAAGAGTTGCAATCAAATATGCAAAGTAAAGAAATTTATTTAAATGGAGTGTTATAAGTTAATCTAAAGAAACATTTTAGTGCTTCATAAGCATCATTCATTTTTGTCAAAAGAAAACGTTTAATGCGCATGAGATCTCTTTATGAATTATTTTATTAATTGGTCTCTTTATGAGATATCTTCACACATTTGAAAACAAATATTTTCCAACATGTAACAGACAAATATTACAATAAGAAAAAAAAATTCACCGACTATTTTGGATGTAATATATTTGCAATCACTATCATGCCAGAATTTTATTCCTTCGTAAATTACAGTACATATATATACAATTCTAAAAGATTTCCTTCACGAAACTTTAGAGAATATTTTTCTAAACTTTTTGCCTTTGAACTTATACCTATAAAAGAAACCTTTAAAATGATAAAATAGGATTTCCTAATATGGTTATAAAGGCTCATTTTACAAACTACAAAAGAGCAAATCTGTTTAAGTTGCTCCAAAATTGCCTTCAGTGTTTTTTTTTTTTTTTTTTTTTTTTACTTTAAGAACTATAAATTCAAAACTTGCATGACCCAGCAAAACAGTGTTAGAAAGCATATTAATGCCTTGCCATAAAATGATGGGTGAGATTCATGGTATTAATGACAAGCTAAACATGACAGACACAAGCCATATTCATAAACTGGTTTACATGAGTCAGATTCATAATATGGCTTTATAGGTTACACATGAAAATCATTGAAGACTGAACTAACCACAGATAAAATTTGCATTTGTGGTACAGATTACATGCTGAGAACAAGCAGTCCTTGTGGCGGAAAATTATATATCAAACATAAACAAAAGTTGCATCAGTAGCACAGATTAAAGGTCTAGGGTAAAATTCTGGTTCATGTTTTACACACACATATACATGCATCATTCAGACAGGCAGGCAGATATATATATACATATATATTAGAGTCAAGAAAATAGCTTCCTGATCTAACAAATAAGATAATTATCTACAGAAAGCTGAATTGTTTTCCCTTATTATAAGACAATATGATAAGGAATAAATATGTTGTAATTTAAAAGTTTTAATGTGGAATTTAAATAAATGAAAAGTACCTCAAAATTAAATTTAAAGAATTTTTCAATGATTGATATAACATATATTTTACTGCTGCAAGTTATAACTTACACAGAACTTACAAAGTCATACTGAGTATCATACTGAACAAATATTAAAAAATTAACATAAGAATATGAATTCAACATTCCATATGAATTCAACATAAACACAATCATCCAGTATAAGAACAGAATAATTTTATACTATTGAAAATAACTACCTCTTTCAGAATTCCTATTATTAAACCAAGAGCATGAGTAGCTTTTAGCTGACAATTAATATCAGGATCATCATCTATAACACCTGTAATATAATTGTTTTCTGTACATGTAAAAATATAAATAAAAAAATTTCATTGACAGCAAAATATGCTAACTAAACATACAAATATGATATGATTTGATTCAGTAAATATAGTTATTATTAGATTGCGATTAATTATAATTTACATAAATCCCATAAAATTATACACATAGCTTTCCCATAAATACTATTATAGCTTTATAAAAAGTATTTATAAATTAACATATTATTTCAAATGTGTAAGTAAATATGAAAGAAGTATCAGTAATGACTGTAAAGAACCTGTTTCTTTGTATTCAGTACTGCATACAGTCAAACCAAATTTTAGTTATTTAATATTCTACATTACAAGTTAAGATAAAATACAGTAGCATAGTCATAACTTTATGCATAACTAAAGGCTCCTTACAAAAATTATTTGCAATACAAAATTTATACAAAATTACAAATAAATTTGTTTACTTACAAAATTATTTGTAATAATCTGTAATATTAAAATGGACTTTTTATATTAAACATGATTTTAATCTTAAGTTGCATATCATCAATACAAAATAATAATATTTCTGGAATATAAAATGTTTTCCTAAATCACCTTTTTCAAGAGGTGCAGTGTAATATCAACTGAATGATAATGCATGAAACAAAATATGCACACGTAAGCATTTCAGAGTGAAAAAGAAATTTCTGTACATGCAATTAATGAAATTATCTTTCTTTAATTTTTAACATTTCAAATTGATTAAATACCAGGTAAAATATAATTCATGCTTATATAGACAGAACATATATTAAAGTATATTATTTTAAAGTAAATTATTTACTGTTTCTGAAAGTCTTACTTTGTAACCATTTTTGACTATCCATTACTTCATCTAACATTTCTGAGCAGAGCAGATAACCAGGGACACTTACATATATAGTAGCTATAGCAAAAATTACAGCCTGACGAACAAATCTAAAAAAAATAATTATCATTGACAATCATACATATATTATTAAGATAATTTAAATAAAAGCATATCCTTTTTAATCAAAAAATATTTAAAAAGAATAGCATATTGTGCAGCAACATTATTTCAAATAGATGCCAAAAATGGCAACTATTTCTTAAAGCCATTTTATAATACATCACTCAGTTCATTTAACTAGTTATAATACAGGTAAAAATATATTAGCTCACTATTAATTCATAATTCTAAATTTTAATTTTACTGATATTTTTTGGGTAATTTCATTTCATTTTGAAATTTCCTTATTATATTATGCTAATAGAAATACAAATAGGAAAGAAAAAGCTTTTACTTTTCAAAGAACTTTTTAAGCACATTTTTTATTTTTTAATTAAAGAAACACAATAAGTTCCCCATGTACCCATATTTCACATGGGGCTACAGAATAGTAAGGGACACAATCAAATAAACAGAAGAAAAAACTTAAATAAAATTTAGAATATTCAAAATTTCACAATAATTGACAAAAGTGTTAAAAGCACTTCTCTCAAAACACATTGATAAAATCTGGAGGCCCTTGATATTTAATTTTTCAGTTCCAGTTTCAGACTTTTCTTTGTTCTTATATTTATGCTAAAGAAGCACATGTTCAAACTCTTCTCCTTCCACCGAGGCTACATCAGACAACTCGAGCTCAACTTAAATCTATTCAAATACTTTGAAATGTTCATGGCCAGTAAGAATTGGGTTAATTTTCTAGTCCTTTGAAAATTGGATGAGTCATGTGAAAATCTCATCTGATAAAGGGAAAATCTCTTGTTAATTCCCTTTATTTACTTAAAAATCGTCGTGGGTTCCAACTCTAAATACTTTCATACAGGACCTCTATAAAAGGAAATTAGGAATATTGACAAAAGTGTGAATTTCCCACTTAAGTCGCAGCTTATAAGGAAATCGGCTCATTTTTTTGTTCCCAACAACACCTGTATGACCACTAACAATGAAACTGCAACCGAATATTTTTTTTTTATGTTTTTTCAGTTCTTTTTTGAATCTTATAATGATATTCTTAATAAGAAATATTTTAAGATCTCCAAGATGAAAAGGAATCAGTACAAATGAGATGTCTGAAAAGCACTATTTTGTTCAGAGACCCATTTGATGGCGAAGTAAGTCCAAAGTTTAGCTATAAAACGGTACATTCATCTCTAATTCTAATTGAAAGTGCTAAAAATTCAAGACCATTTTGAGACACAATGCCAGACCAACCTTGCATCATTTTGCTGCCATCAGTATAGCATTTCAGGCGAATCATCTACGATTTTATTCTCTTGATAAAATGAACAGCATTTCTTCTGAAGGATGAGGAAATCAAAATTAAATAACAATCGCACGAGAGACAGTAAAGCAGAATATTTTCTTATAAGCAAAAGCATGAAGAATGGCATGTCAATTGTAGGAAAGCCAGAAATTGCATAAACGACTCATAGTTACTACGATATCCCATATGACCGCGAAGTATGCGCCTTTGAACAGTCGAAATAGCTATAATTATCTTCTTCTTGAGGATATCCCCGACTTTAGACCATACATAATAAGAGTGCAATGCCCTTGTTTATACATTAGCAATGAACATTGTAAAAATACCACCGTAGTGTTCGTGCAATACGACTTAATCACGTTGTAATCTATCTAAAAATAAAATTAATAACATACATGCATATAATCATGCCAATAAACTTAACAATTTATTATTTAAGTATATAATGTCCACTTATCAAACATTAATTAAATCTTTAGAAAATACTCTAAAATAAATTAAAACAGACCAGATCAAAAATAAATATTAATCAGGGAAATCACTTGTACAAAAAATGGGGGGGGGGAGGATCCAGCTGTCTTTCAAATTTCATTAAGAGCCAGAGGATAATGGAACAAAAGTCCCAGCTTTTTTTTTTTTTTTTAGGAACTTATTATCACAATTTTTTTTCCCCATATCATTTCCTTTTTTACCGATACTTAGGGATCAGTAATTCTTCTAAAATTGAATTTCAAAAAGATACTATAAATTCAAATAAATTAAAAACAGGGATATTTGAAAATGTATAAGAGATTAAGAGATCACACAGAAAATTTGAATTAGCTAAGAGATTTGGCAATTCTGAAATTGTGATAAATTCTTTATATATATATAACTACAGAGAAATTGGTTTTTACACATCGCCAGAGCTAATGCAACCTGTGCAGTCGCATTGGGCAACAGGATATAGGGGCGTAAAATTTTGGATTTAGAAATACGACTGACATTCCAAAATGACAATGTTCAAGGAGGATTTTAACGATTTTTTTCTCTCCTTTTTTTAGACTAAGAATATAGGAAAAAGAAATCATTTGTAAGTATCAGTTGCTAACTCCAGAATTTATGCCTTCCTTTCTTGGGGATACAAAATCATAAATGAAAGTTAGTTAGCAGTTGAGGCAGAACGCTGCCTCAACTGCTAACTAACTTTCATAAAGTTCTTCTAAGTTTTGAGTTGAAGTAACTAAAAAGTTCTTCTAAGTCCTGAGTTGAAGCATGAAAGGACTTTGTCCCACCCACATGTGGAAATGCAGATTTCATCCAGGATATCCAAAATATTTAGATCTCACATTTGGAAATGTGAGGTCTCCGGTTTGGCTTAGGGATCTTTGAATGAATTCAAGGTCAGAAAGATGAAGCAGTTTTATGTGACAGGTTAAAACACAAATTTTCAATCAGATGCTCATACACTAAGTGGAAAAATATTTCAGTTAATTTCTGGCATAAATTGCATTTTTTTTTTCCATTACACTTATTGAAATTCATCACTTCTTCACTCATGGGGGGAAGGAAATGGAATGGATGAATTTTTTTACTTGAAATTATGAATAAATCAATATTATTCCAATTCTTCATATTGAAAGTTTTCAAAATATTGTCACATTGCAGATAAAATGCAGGTTAAGAATTCTTTAAAATCCCTAAATGAGAATTAAACCTGAGGGCATAGAAAGAGATATAAAGATAGAAAGGAGATCAATAGGACATTGGAACATTATGGCAGAATATGTTTGTTCTATTTCATATAACCGAGAAATGAAAAACGGCATTATCAAATAATTGAAGCAGCTATTTAAGAGAGTATCTATGAGTAAAATAAACTTACATGAGCATTTCAATAATCATTATATGTCATAATAATTCAGTAGATTGAAAATGTCAAATAAGAATGCCATAAAAAATTATTGTATTTAAAAAAAAATAGTACTATTCCTTTAATAATTTATTATTTTTGAAGCTATTTAATTTAATTATTTAAGATCTACTGCCTCCCCTGTAAATCCTAACATAAATCATAACATCACTAATATATAAGGCTTAAATGCTTTTGATGTTAAAAGTGGCTACAAGTGGTGGCGTGTTGCACAACTTTCAATTATTGATAGTTTTATCCTTTTTGATTTACAGGAAAACAAACTGGAGGTAATTGCTGAAGTGGTTTCACACATGCATAGTGTAAATGCAAAGAAATTAGCCTTGAGCTCCTAAAATATATCTTATTTACTAAGCATATTTTAGTGCTTGAGGATTTCTCCAAAGACAAGAGCTATGGTATTTCTTAGCTTGTAAATTATTTATCATTCAAAAATTCCCACTAATCTGTAAAAGATAATTCTGAAGATGTTGAATTTGTTTTGAAAGTAATATATTCATTTCCTTTCATTTGAAAAAATGCAATAAATTACAATTCACTTTAACAATGTGAAACATTTATGTATAGAATTCAGTAATGTGCAGTAATTTGTGTGTTACTTAAAATGAATTGAATTATTATATTATGGCAAGCACTCAGGGACTATTTGTCTCAGGGGAAGAATGCTTTCGTGAAGTACTTCCTAATCTTTATTTGAAATGAAATTTTTAGAAGAACTTCATGATATTCAGTACTTAAAATGATCAATAGTAATACATAATGATAATAAAAATGCTAACACACAACTAAAAGTATATATTGCTTTGAAGTTTCGATTAATTAACTACTGAAAATATTAAACATACCATACATTGTTCTAATAGTTTCATGTTGCATTTTAACATTTCCTAAAAGAATGCGAATTACACTGTAATTTTCCCTACACAAACGAATGAAATATTTTAGAAAGAATTTTCCTCTGTTATTGGAACATTGCAATATTTCAATAATTTTTTGCAATTAAAAAGTTTATTAAATATGTTTTAATAGTAAA